TAGACCAAACAGCCCAGTACGCGTACAGCTGTAAATGTCACTCGCCTTCTGCCTTGAACCCCTCGTTCTGACGGCGGAAATGAGCTCATTTAATCAGAAATCAAATTGAAGATCATAAATTTGAGCATTTCATCATTAGATTTGTATTCTTACTGTTGATGATGCGACCGTGTTTGGGTTTCTCAGTCCACTAGCCATGTTTTTAATTAAATTCCAGACAGATCAGCACATTCGTTGCTGCTCGATCGAAATAATTGTAAGTTGCGCTGTAATTGGCCGCCGGCTAAGGGTTGGGGCTGGGTTGGGGATGTGCTGGGGCTGTAAATGATGGGCTCGTCAGTGGAATTTCCATTCATATACTCGTACAATATATCCAGCACATCGATGTCTACGTCTGGTCATTGATTATGATCTCAAACGCTGACGATGAGCATTTGATTGAAGTGCATTCGGCTGGAAAAACACACCGAGACGAGCCAATTCGTTTGCAGAATAGATGGATCTGTGAGTCGGAATTGTTGCGGAATTTATAAATGAGAAGGGAATGCATTGTCGGTTCAAAAATGTGCAATATGATTTTTTCAACATTGTGAATCATCTTGTACTGCAATCGATAGTAGTTGTGTGTGGACTTTATTTTATTGGAGTGATCAAATAAAGGTAAACAAATACTTTTGTAAAAAAGTTAATTATTCGTTTATAAAAAACACAAATTAAATATAAATAAAGACATAAATATTCTGTAAATATTCCAGGTAGCTCCTGCTTTTAAAAGGAACTGCTTCTAACTCTTTTAAGACATCATTATTTAAAGTCCTACGTCTTAAGCCTTTTTACTCCTATAAAAAAGCTAAATATTCGTTTGTAAGAAATGCAAATAAATTTAAAAAAGAAGACATAAATATTTTGGATATGCGCAATAGTGTGTATTAGCAATAACTCTTCTTCCATATTTTTTGTTTAAAGCTGGTTTTAAAACAAACTGCTTCTTAGGGGATCTTTAGGGGATCATCATTTTAAGTCCTTTGTCTTTATTTTTTTTACTCCAAAAAAAGCTAAATATTCGCTTGTAAGTAATGCAAAAAAATATAAATAAAGAAGACTTAAATATTCTTGATATGCATAATAAAACAGACAATAGATACAGCCATGTAGCTCTTTTCTAATCTTAAGCCAACACAATAGCCATAACTTGTGCTTCATAATTTGTTTGAAGCTGCTTTTAAATGGAATTGCTTCTAACTCTTTTAAGAGATCATTATGTAAAGTGTAAAGTTTTTTGCACTACTGTAAAAAAGCTAAATATTCGTTATAATTTAAATAAAGAAGACATAAATCAAGAATATCTTGATATGCACAATAAGGCAGACAAACGAATGAGCCATGTAGCTCTTCGGCCAACACATTAGCGATATATCTTGCTCCATAATTTGTTTGAGAGATCATGTTAAGAGATCATTATTGAATGTCCTAAGTTTTAAGTCTTTTTACTCCTATAAAAAAAGCTAATTATACGTTTGTAAGAAATGCAAATAGATATAAATAAAGTTGATATAAATATTTTGGATATGCACAATAGAATATGTAGCTCTTTTCTACTCATAACCCTAGCTCCATAATTTGTTTGCTTTTAAAACCAACTGCTTCTGACTTCTTTGGGAGATCTTAGATCTTAAAAAGTTAAGAAGTTGGTTCAGCATTTGTTGCATTGCATTAAAAGCTTCACTTCCTTCCACTTTGGTCACACCTGTCCCAGCACACACTTTGGTCACACTTGTCGCGGCGAGTATCTCTCGTCACGGCCTGCTTAGCAAATAGTCTGCGCCCTTGAGCCGCCACAGATGAAGCGTAAAAATGGCGCACTCGACGCCATTCGAGGCATTAGAGGCATTAGAGGCTGGCGACATCAAAAGGGGCGACTGCCACCGTTGAACTTGAGCTTTAATTATTTAATTAATTTATTGTGAAAAGCTGCAATTGAATTTTAATGCAATCGCTGGCGTTGGTGCTGACGTGTGCAAATTGTCGTCAGAGCATGGAATTTACACACACACACAGACAGCCACACCCACTACCAGCCGCTAAACACCCCAAGAGGAAGGTGGGGGCGACTTATGCTGGCAGCTCGGGCCATTTCCTTCTCAGCGCGCCTGTTTAATGTTGCAGGTGGCCTGTTTTTCGCTTTTCTTCTACGAGCATTTCGAAAATGAAAAGCCGCCGCGCCCAGTTGCACACAACTCAAATAAAAATAAAATTAATGAAAAAGTTTGTTCTTTTATTCGATTCGTATTCGTACGCGTCCGTCTGCCGTGGACGTGGATGTGGATGTGGACGTGGGCGTGGGCGCTGCCAATCGTCATGCAGTCTGTGCCAAGAGCCACGCGACCACCCCACACAGGCCCACCGAACCACCGGTTCACCCAGTGGCCCAGCTCCCTAGTCCCAGATCTCAGATTTTAGATTTTAGATGCTCACCATTTGACAAATGTGGCAGCCAAATGCGAGGCATTGCAGTTTTCGTTGCCTCTGACAGCGACAATTTCTCTACTTTGTGTTGGCATCGCCGGGGGCGTGGGTGGGACTGGTTGGGGCACAAGATTCATTGATGCCACTTTGGTGGCAACTATTTTGGCAAAGTGCATAACTTATGTTTCTTCTAGCCAGCGGTCTGCAATCTGCGGTCTGTGGCGGTTTGTGGTCTCTGCCCTGCCCTGCCACTTGTCTTTCTATTTGATGTTTGTCGTCCTCTACGACTGATGTTTATTTATTTATCTTAGCCGCTACTCGCTCGCAATTTCGCGCATAAATTCAAACGCCATCGCCTCTTTGGTCAGTCTCTGAAAGTCTCTAGTGTTGTTGTTGTTGTTGTTCTGTTTTGCCTTTTTTGTTTATTTTGGCGCGGCTACTTGTATTTTTGGTGCTCGACTCCCTCGGCTCTGCCAGATGACATTTCGCCCAAAAAATTATGATAGAAAGAGCAAAAAAAGTTGCCATGTAATTAAATCTAAATCAAACGTCACATTCTGAAGGTCCCATGCTGACGACAGCCGATGTTGGATGTTGGATGTTGGGATCTCTGCGGTTCTTTCGTTCGCTTGATTGGTTTCTGCTGCTGCCTTTGATTTTCACTTTGGCTTTTGGATCACCTCATAATTTATTTTGAGCAGTGCAGTTTTTTCGAACCGGAAGTGGCTGCACTATCAATTCGAATTGCCATTTTTAGCGGGTGTAATGGGTTTCTTGGCATTGAAATTGAACTGTGTGTCTGTCTACTTTGTTGTGTAATTGAAGGTGCATGTTCCCCATATTTAATTAATGATGTGTGTGGTTAGTGCCAATTCGACTAGCACTTAATAGAGTATTTCCGACTGTCAAGCTCATGCTTTTTGTGCTACTCTCTGTTAGTCAAACGACGATATTCCTTTCAAATGAGATCTTCTTTAAACTTTTAACGCAATAACTGTAAAACTTTGTTTTGAAACAATCGCATTGAGAATAAGTTAAGACATTTGTTGCATAAGCTTAGGCGTTGCAGCACCCAAGATCAAAAAGAATCGTTTTGTTATTTTACAAAAATTATAGAATAAGCCTTAATTAATAAGAATTAATTAATAATGTGTAGAGAACCAGTTTTTAAGTCAAACAGGTGGGCAGAAGGTACACTAAATTTATTTTATTCATATGGAAATGACGCCTAATATTTTTAAGGTCAGGTAGGTCTACTGCTTTTTTGCATATTATTTCAAATACTCTATTTAAAATGCATCTAAGATGTTGCAAAACAAACGCTGCAATTTGTGGGAAGAAAATTGGTGCTGCCAGCAAAATATAAGAACTACCCAAGGCTGCAGCATTCAAACATCCAAAGCTATTCGCTTTAAATCAAAGCATCCCCCTTCGCAATGATTTGGTTTCTATGGACTATGCTTATTTAGTTTATTTCGATTTGTGATTATTGTTTGCCCATTTTGACAATCAAGTGTGGAGTAAAAAATCGAACAAAAATTAAAATTGCCGAAAGGTATTGTCCGTTAAGCATATCGATATACTTTGGGTGACAAATATAAAGCAGGTATTATATCAGTGCAGCATAGCTAGCCACATGGCTGTTAAAACTGGAATTAATATATATGCCTGTTTAAAAAAAACAATTAAAATTAATGAAAATATTTAAAACTAGTTACTGGTATGCATTTAAGATATATCAGCAATCACAATCCTTTCTTGAAACCTTCTTTATAGATATTGTTTAGATATTATTTAGAATTTTTAACAGATTTTAATATCATAGAAACTATTCAGCAATTGCTAACCAAAATGAAATAGTGTTCACTATATATGAACTATCACTATTATTTGCGAATTCATCTTTGAGCCATCTGAGTGGAAAATATAAATTATAAGTGTCTACAAGTGTCCGTTTAGAATGTCAAGATTATTTAAAGTAATTTCAGCTTTCTAAAGAAAAGGCATTATTTTAAATGCGCCAAGGCTACTTAAAGCTCTTTAAGTATGTATAAGGCCTATTTAATTGAAATATCAAGGTTTCAGATGCTGCAGCTAGCTAATAACATTGAAAATATTAAGAAACTAAATGTAAATACGAGTATATGCTAGAAATTTCTGTGATTATTTAATTCCTAAACTAACATAAGCTTGACTGAATGGAGGCTTTAAGTTTAAGTTCTGCGGTATCGGGTCTTTTGTGGTTTCCCTTTTAATCAACCTTTGTGAATGGCTTCCTTCACTTACATTTCTAACTTTCTAAGAGCAATCTTGAAACCGAATTAAGCACACACTGAAAGGCTTCTCCTATTATATAGTTTATATTATCACAGTAAATATAATTTATTGGTCACTCAAGAAACTCTAGATTAGACAACAGTATGTTTCATTGACTTGTTAACTCGTTCTTAAAACTCCATCGTCTTCTTAAATTAGGAATCCTCTATCATATTTACTTAGGAATAGGGATCTCGCATCTCGAATCTCGAACTTACCAACCGAATCCAGTCATTGGCATTGCAAATATCAAGATTGCAATTACCATGAATAACCGCATATCGCTTCGCAGCCGCAAGCACAACACAACACAAACAAATGTGCTCGCTCGCTCTACTCAACAATTCAGTTCAGTTCAGTTAAGGTTCGGGTTCGGGTTCAGTTACAGGTAGTTAAGCTTTTTTATTGCCGGGTATTACGTTGATTTGCTCATACAAATTTTCGGGCAGAAGTCAACAACAAAAATGCGACGGTAACGGGCACGAACAAAGTTTTGACGAGCGAATAAATCAGGCAACAAGCCGTTTCGTGTTGGACCTCAGTAGATGTCAGATGGCAGAAATTTGTTTAACTGCACTGCACTGAGGGCATTACGGAATGCCCCAAAAACTGGCGATGATGACGAAGCGACGCGCACCTGACGATCTCTGACGATCTCCGACGATAGCGTCCACATTGCGCACACAATTCTTGATCTTGATCTAGCGGCTCTTTTTCACTTTTTCGCGTATTGTTTAAATTTGGTTTGTTTGCAATTTGTTTTTTGTTGTTGTATTTTGTTGTTGTTTTTCAATTTGTTGCTGCGTGCGTTCAAATTCGTACGCACAGGGAGAAAGCTGCCGGCGTACTGAGACGCGTGCGAGGAGCGATCAAATGCAGGAGCTTCAGCTCCAGACTCCGCCAACACACAAGAACGAGAACAAAACACAAAACACAAACAAAGATAAACAGAAATAAATAAAAAATGAGGGCAAAAGGAGCTGCGCAACAAAATGTTGATCCGGGCCCGGCCAGAAGGGGCTGCAACCTGAACCTGGGCCTGAACTCGGGGCTTCGAGTGGCGTAAAAAATGAAATTAAACGCGCGCGCTTTAATCAACTCGACTTTGTCTGCTCAGCTTAGCCGGGCCTTAACCGGGTCTTTACTTTAGCTCAGGTTGTTGTTGTTGTTGTTATTGTTATTGTTGTTGTTGTGGTGTGGTGGTTGCTTCGCTTTGGCGCATCCTTTGCCAGTTTTTCCCATGTTACCGCCTGGGAACATGTACCGCAAAATCACACGCGCTTCTGTCCGTCTTGTGTCCGCTCGGTTGCGTTCGCGTTTCGCGTTTGCCCGCGCTATGTTTGTCCAACGCGCTGAACAGCTCTTCGCATTCTGCATGTGTGTGAAAATTGTGGCGAAAATTTGCGTTTTGTTGTTGCCGTCTATAGTTTTTGAGTTTTGAGTTTTTCACATTCGAGCGCTCGCGAAAAACGCTCGGCACGCGAAATAAGTAGCAGAAGATAAAACAGAAAGCAAAAAAACTGACTAATCTGCGTCCGCATCCGCGTCTGTTCTCTGCGTTCGACATCCACATCCACATCGGGCGAATGCCGGCTATGAATGGACGTTGGCTTCTCTGTCTGATTCTGATACGTCGTAGTCTTCTTCGTCGACGTCGTCGCCGTCGTCGTCGTCGTCGTCGTCGTATCTCTGGCCTGACTTTCTGCTCAGCTCTGCTCGGCTCTGTTCCGTTCTGCTCTGCTCTGCTGCTCTTCTTGTTGCCGCCGTTGTTATGATTGTTTTTATTGTTGTTGTTGTTGCTGCTGTTGTTGTAGTGCCGTTGGCCGATCTGTTTAGAAGCGTGAAAATTTATTTCACTCATGCGCGTTGCGTGCGCTCAAAAGTTCTGGCCGCTCCTCGCCTGCGTCGACATCGACGTCGACGACGACGCCGACGACGTTCTCGTTGTCGCTGTTGTTTTGTTGATTTTTGAGATATTTTCTAATGTATCTGTAGATATGTGCGATATGTGTGCACGCACAGTTGCCCCAATATGTATTTGAACTGCTCGAAATTGGCATCATCGGTGTTTTTCTACAACATTACGATATATTTTACAAAATGTTTCCATGCTAAGCCAAACAATCTGATGTTGATCTGATCTGCTGATTCATTTCTCCATTTATTAGATATCTCAAACTCAAAATTGAGGCGAAGGCTGTGTTCTTCAAAGATCGACTAGCACCATCCTATGGATTATTAACTGTATTTGGGGGTTATTTGTAAAAAAGTTATAAGCTTAATAAATGTGTGATGTAAATATGTATAAGAAATACGTGTAATATGGTAGTTGAAAAGGAAAAAGAGATTTGAGTGGAAGTTAACTTCATGTATTTGATGTTTGTCTGTCTCCATACGATGCTTTCGGTTATCTCCAATGTTTAAAGCTTATTAAACAGCTTTTAAAAGAAACAAATGCAACTTTCATTGCGATGAGCCGTTTTTAAAAAAAAAACATCGGGTCTTTAAATGTCATTTAGAGATGAAATAGGATTTCAAGATGATAATTAAATGATGCCTTTAATGGGGAGCTCAAAATTTCGAAAAATTTAAGAGATTGTTGCTGTATTAAAAGATCTTTGCAGGCTCATCGATAAGCATATTTCATATTTATTTTAGCTTATTTATTTATTTTTAAAATGCTATAGTTCCTTGAAATGAATCGAAGCCTCTCAAAATTGAATATCGCAACACTTCAGCGTAGACCGACACGACATATTATGAATTTTACAAATCAATAGATTTTGCAAATCAATCAATATTCATTTAGAGTATTTTAAATATGATATGACTTAAAACATTTAAGCTGTTTTTTTTTGTTACATTTTTGCAATCATTATAATATTAATTAATCAAATTATTTCTCGAAAGGAATGTTCTACTAACGGGACTTATAAGTACCTGATAAACGAACATATTCCATAAGCATTTAATACTAGTCTGATTTGAGAAATAACTGTTAGTCAGCAAAAGCGAAGATACAATAAATAATAAATAAAAATGTATATATTATTGAAAAAAGGTATTGTTAAGTTTTAAGGACAAATACAAGCATGCATAAGCACTTAATACTAGTCTGATTTGAGAAGTAAATGTTAAAGTTAACTGTTTGAAAAAGCGAAGATACAATAAATAATAAATAAAAATTTATATATTATTGAAAAAAGGTATTGTCATACTATTAGTCGAAATAGCAATAAAGCAACTATACTCATTGACTTCGAATTATGGATTATGGGTACTATTTGATTTAATTATTTTTCTTAAAGAAAAACTATTATGAAGCTTAATGTTACTTTCCTAACTTTCTTCATTAGTTTGTCTACAAGGAATTTATGCGTACATGCCTGATATACTTTTGGCGGATACTGTTAACCTTTATACCGCCTCCACTTTCATATTCCTCTCGATTTCCGTTTCTCCGCCACGCCCCCGCACTCTGGGCACACGCGAATTGTTTACACGCGACAAACTTGTCAAATTTTTATGCCAGCGCGCTTGTGCGTGTGTGTGTGATGTATCTACTTGTATGTGTGTGTGTGAGTGCCGGTGATAAAACCCAAAAAAGGTTACCGACTTTATACGTTGGCCTAGGCTCGAGTTCGAGTTCGAGTTCGTGTCCAAACTGCAGCTCGAATTAAAGTCGCGACACGCGCAGGTAACAAGCTTGTGCTTTGATTGCTGGCCCCATACCTCGTGAGGCACTTTGAACCACTGTCCCACTGGCTATTTGTCCCATTGTATCGTCAGTTGGACTGACTGCTTTGCATACCCACGTACACGTTATAATTTCGTATCTGAGCGGCTAATCATTGTCAAATACCATAAAACAGATCTCGTCGAGCTGAAGCAGCAGCTACCAAAAGCTTAGTAAGTAAGCACTAAGTGGAGCCGCGGGAGGGCCAGCAGGAGCGGCGGAGGAAGCGGCAGCGGCAGTGGCGTGCTAATCTCGTGCTGCCGATGCTCCCGAGGCAGCCGAGGCTGCTGTTGAGGCGTAGCTGTTGTGTATTGTTGTTGTTTGCCCAGCGAGTGACAGAAGGAAGGCGCCCCCCCCCCCCACTACCCTTCCGTTTTCATAGCTTCAGGTGCACTTGGAGAAAAAGTGGGGCTACAATTACGGCAGTAAATGTAAAAATGCTGATTTAAATAGAGGCATGTTAATATCTTTGCCAAGTCGTTCTAAGGCATTTCCTATTTGGAATATGTTTTTAAAAAGTATTATTGGCAACTACCTGTCTAGAGCAAATAAATCCGATTCGTATTAAAAATAGCATTCGCGTAGGGTACACATTTCGAGTTTGCTGCCTATGACCCATATAAGTGTACTGTTTTTCTAAAAAAAATTCAAAATCAAAAATAATTTATTTCAGTTGTGTGGTTTTCCTGTATCGTATAATTAACAGCGACCGTACTTATATCAAAACGGCTTGTAAAAATCAGCCAGTCATTTGAGTTAGGAGAAAATATTTAGGATCTCGTATAATTAATACGTTAATTACGAAAAAAGAAACTTGATTTATCAAATCTTAAGTTGAAAAAAGAACTTTTGATTTAACAAATTTCAAGTTGTATAATTATTTATTTACATTTAGTTAAGTTAAGTTAAGTTTTTTGAACCGATTGACCGATTATGGTTATAAAACAATTACAAATACATAAAGACAAAGTGTCCTGTTAGCTAAATATAATGCTTACACTTAAATAGATAAAAGTTTAATATTTGTTCGAACTACTTTTTACTATATCTGGACTATGGCCTGTTAGCTAAATATATTGCTTAAATAGAACACTTCTACTATTTACCATATCTGGACTACATAAACATATCTTTAAATTTCAGCAAAATTTCGCCCCCAAAGAAGGCAGTTCAATTATAATTAAATTTAAAATAAAAGGTCGTGGTGAAATAATTTCAAAACGTTTTCTTTTTAATTAATTTCGAATAATTTTCAATTAATTACTGAACCATCTGAGTAACTTCGAAATTTTTAAGTTAATTTAATCATTTAATTTCTGCAAAATTTCTCCCCCAAGGAAGGCAGTTCAGTTATAATTAAATTGAAAATAAAAGGTCGTGGTGAAATAATTTCAAAACGTTTTCTCTTCAATTATTTTTAATTTCGATTAAATTGCAATTAACTACTGATCCATCTGAGCAACTGAGAAACTTTTTTCTGAGGGTCTTAGGGGGTTCTATAGATTGCGTTTTTTAATTGAAACATGCTTCCCGATAGTGCTTTGCAGTAAAATCGATTGCTGATTTAAGTGGCCTTCTTTTAGTGGAAAGACTTGCTCAAATACAATATTAGTCTTCACTATTTTAGCGGAACTTGTGTTTAATAGTACTAACACTTCTGGCATCAAAATTATGAAGGACTTACTTGAACTCTCTTCTATCAGTCTTGTTTTTCCATATTTTATTCACTGCTTTGCAGGGCACTTTTCTGCAAGCTTGTCAGCTAGAATGCTTCCTACAATTCAGTTATTTACATAAAACTTGATTCTGGCATTGATTGTTGCTTGACTCGACTTGACTTCGACTCCTGAGCTTAAGTCCACTGTTTTTCTCTCACTGTTGCCGTCTCGTCACGTTGATTTTCGCTGCCAACTTTTTAAGCGACCCACCCAGGCGGCGTTAGAACTTCGCTCGAACCAGCATACGGATATTCAAATACATACTCGCACACACATCCATGGCTACATACTTATATGGGCTAATAGTTTTGTGGATGTGTGTTTGTTGTTGCTTGGCCTTTCTGTTTGTTTATACATTTCAAAGATATTTTTCGTTGAATTTCGTGAGTGGATTTTATTTGGTTTTTTTTTTAAGT